GGTGCCCATATGGGATGCCGGCACTGCAGGTGGTGGCTTTACCCACTAATGCACAGTGCTGGTCCCTGGCATTGAGTTTTTGTGCTTTTGTTTTTTCCTGTTTTCCCTCATTCCTGTCCCAGCCGGGGCAGGTGAAGGTTCGTGGAGCGGTGCCTCTACTGCTTTTCGGCCATCGAATTATGGAGTGATGATGATAGAGGTGGCAGGGTTTCTGTGTCCCCTCTGTACTAGGCAGGAGAAATTGTAAGCCACCAGGGGTTGGCCTGGAATGGACGAAACTGGAGCTTGCTTTCCTGGAGCCGGGCCGGGCAGTTGCAGCTCTGACTCAGCTGTGCCAGGCCCCTCCCTTTGGGGCTCCGCTATCTCATGGAAGGGTGTCCTGGGGCAAGCAGATGATCCTGATAGTCCCTCAGCTGCTGGCCCAGGCAGCCCAGTGCCCTTTTTAAAAACTCCTAGGAATGTCCTGCTGTTTACCACTGTGCCTTTCCCTAACTCCCTCCCTCCCCTGCTCACCGAGCGGCCTTCTCTGCCTGCTGCCCACAGCTCTGTGCAGAAACAGCCGTTAAATTGTTCCACTTCCATAAGCTGTGCTCTCTGGCCTGTCCCCGCCCCACCACCACCAGGGCACACTTGCCACTTGTCACGGGGTCTTGGCCCTATCTGCCACCCCCCACCCTGCCCCAGCAGGATCCCACCTGCAGGTTCCCAGGATTGCCCTGGCCTTGCCTCCCACTGGCTTCAGAGACAGGAGTGAGGGAAGGCAGAGGGGCCCCAAGGCTCTGCCTTCTGGAGAAGCCAGCTTTGGGGTCCGGGGTGCTCACTCTGGTGCCTTTTCTGGAGGCGACATAGCCACGAGCTTCCTCACGTGTCAGGTGGGTTGTCGGGGGACCAGCTGCGGGCAACACTTGGGCATGAAAACTACCGTGGAGGAGCTGTAGGGGGCCAAGGTGGAGGCCGCCTCCCTCATGGTGGGCAATAGGGCTGGCCGGTGAGGTGGAGAAGGCAGGAGGCCGGCCCAGGTCCCCGTCACCAGGCCACCAACGCTGCGAGGAGCCTCACGGTCGGAGGGCAGGCTGGGCTCCTGGCACACCCGGAGCCTGTTGCTTTCCAAGAGGATGAGCTGGGAGAGGAGCCAGGAGCTGCTGGCCGGCATCCAGGTCTGCGCCTGATTACATGGCTGGGCCTGCCCGGAGCAGTGAGCCCCATCCACCTCCACTGCCAGCCCCTGCCTGGAGGGACAGGGCAGGAGGTCAGGAGGCCGAGGTGTTCCCAGAGGCTGGGTGACAGCGCTGGGCCCCTGCCTTGGTTGCCTATGGTGGACCAGGGAAATGTAGCATGGGTGAGAGACCCTGCTGTGGTCAGCTGTGAGGTCCTGGGCGTTGGGGCAGGGAGCATGGGCTGCAGCCCGGAAGTCCTCGCTCTGCTACCTGCCTGGTCTGAGACCTCCGACATGGTGCTGAGCCCCTGAGAGCCTTCCTCCTCTTCGAGGAAACTGGGGGTGGAAGATAATGAGACCAGGTCGCTCCATCTTCCCCGTGGGGCGATGGGAGCTGGAAGAGGCCGTGCAGGAGAACTCCAGGCCTGCCTTGTGGCTGTATGGCTGTATGGCTGGTTGGTGGGTCTGCCACTAAGCTTGGGAGGCTGCAGCTTCTCCCCTCCAGGCAGGCTTTCCCCTTGGCAGAGGCCAGCACTCACACGGGACCACCCACCCCCAGAGGATAAGATGATCCTGGTTGGGGGCATTGCCCGCATGTCTGGGACCCCCGATTGTAGTCAGATGTGCTTAAAGCTCCGGGGGTGTGGAAGGTGCCTGGTGGCTGTGCCCTGCCCACTCCTCTCCCCTGGCCACGCCGCGGCTGCGGGCGCTGGTTCACCATTTCTGCTTTGGCCGGGAGGTGGTTGAGGTGAAAGGAGCGGCTGCCTGGGTGGGAGCGCGCCCTTACTCTCTCTGGGTGAGGAGGTTTCCCAGAGGCTCACTAGGGACCGCCCGTTTCCCTGGTCACCACCCTCCCCTCCAGGCCGCCTTCCGGGCGTGAGCCAGGAGGGGTTGGGGATAGGCCTGGGTCTCCTGTGGCCTGAGACCACACCTAGAGTAGTTGTCCACTGGAGGTAGGTGTGCGGGGGCTGCCATCTTCCCGAGGGAGCTCTTTGGAGGCCCTTAGAATAACTACAGCAGCCCTGGACGCCCTCGCTTTGGGCAGCTGGTGTTCTGGGGCCAAGCTGGGGCAGGGGGGTGTGGAGTTGTCCTCCTCAGCTTTCTGCCTGAGCAAGGATCTGTTTGGTTTTTGCAAGAGTTACAGAGAGAGAAGGAGAGACAGGGAGAGAGCGCCCATCCATTGGTTCACTTCCGAGATGGCCAGGCTAAAACCAGGAGCCATTAGTTTCTTCCGGGTCTCCCATGTGGGTGCAGGGGCCCAAGTACTTACTTGGACCATCTTCTGCTGCTTTCTCAGGCCTCAGCAGAGAGCTGGATTGGAAGTGGAGCAGCCGGGACTCGAATCAGTGCCCATTTGGGATGCTGGCACTGCAGGCGGTGGCTTTACCTGTTGCGCCACACGTACACCTCCCCCCCACTCCGGTTTCATCTTTACACCTCCTTCTCTCACCCTCATTGGAAGATGCCTGGCAGAAGCACACCGTCCTGGCCTCAGGGGTTGCTAGGAAGAGAGGCCTTGGGTGGCCTGGCCCTGCCTCCCTCGGCACCCCTGCGGCCATGTGGACTTCCTGCCTGGTGGGGAGGTGACAGGGTGCGTCCTGGGGTTGAGGCTCATCAGCCTGACTGGCTGGGACTGCTTTGTGTGCTCCAGCCCTGTCTGGGCACTGGGCTGGCCTGTGCCAGCCTCTGGCTTTCCTGTGGCAGAGGTGTGGGGGGTGGCCGTTCTGTTATCAGAGCTTGGATCTCTGCCCTGCCTCCTGAGTTCACAAAGGAGCCAGGGCCCACCAGTAAGGAAGCCTAAACCAGCAAGGTAGCTTCCGTGTCACCCCTTCCTGCCTCCCCCTCGGAGACTGGAGGGGCCTGGTCGCAGTCTCAGAGAAGCGCCGTTGGCCCCAGGTTGGGCAGGCAGGGTTGCTTGGGGCTGACAGGCGCCAGGGCTGCTGCCAGGGGCTGGGTGCCAGGCGGTGTCCTCATCCCAGCCTGTGGGCAGAGGCGGGCCGACACCAGCCCCCATCCCAGGTTCCGGGGCTGGCCCGCAGCCACGTCTCTAGTTAACCTGGCAGTGCCCCAGGACGTGGCCTCTCCGGGGGTAGGTGCCAGCTACTCCTGTGCCTGCAGCAGGCGCTGTATGGCCCCCTCTCTGGGGTGTGCGCGCGCATGGTGTCCTGCAGGAGCGGGTAGGTAAGCCTGGGCGTGGGTGGCGGCTGGACTGCACTGTGCTTCTGTGAACTCCTGCTGCCCCCTCACCCAGGCTGTCCCCAGCCCTGATTCCTCGTGACTGACCCCGCCTGGGGTCCCGTCCCTCCCTGGCTAGGAGACTTGGTAGTTAACTCTGCCTAGCCTGGGCGCTGTCCCAGGATGCCAGAGCCCGCTCTGCCCCCGTTCTCTGCGCAGCATCTCATAGCTGACCTGACTTCTGGCAGGCACTGAGGCGTGGGTCACCGAGCAGATGTGGGTGGCTGCTCCGCCTGGGCGGGCCGCCAGGATTCGGGGGTGTGTGGTGGGTGTCCGGTACGTTCTGATGCTCTGCCTGACTTCTGCCAAGGCCAGCTGAGTCCCTAGGGGCAGCATGTGGCAGGCGCTGAGGCATGGGTCATGGAGCAGATAGGGTTATGCTGTGCTAGGGGGGCTGCCTTGTGGGCATCTGGTGGGTTCTGATGCAGTGCTTGACTTCCGGTGCAGCCCCCCCGCTGCTCGCTCGAGTGTTTGCATGGGCTTTGCTCTGTCCTGTGCGCAGCCACCCTGGCCCTCGCCTGTCCTCAGCCCTCTTGGGTGAGGGGGGCTTGGGCCCCACCTCATTAAACGTGGAGGCTCTCAGTCCTGCTGCCCTCTGGGCCTTTGGTGAGGTCTGGGGCTAACCAGATGCCCCTCCCCCTTCGAGAGGGGGAGCTGCACCAGGGGCTGGAGAGACAGCTGGCAGCTTGCAGCCTAGAGGCCTCCCAGCCGCAGGCGGGCACCCCGGGTCTGGTCACATTCCTAAGGGACCTGCTGAGCCTCCCTGGCCCTGGGGGTGGGGTGGGGGAAGGGCAGGAAGGAATGGGCTCTGGGCTGTGGCAGGCTCCCTCCCCCATCCCTGGCTTCATTCCAAGGGAGCCTAGGCTGGCCTGTGTGTGTGTGTGTGTGTGTGTGTGTGTGTGAGAGAGAGAGAGAGAGAGAGAGAGAGAGGCAAGGACCCAGAATCTCAGGGTCCCCTCCTGCAGGAGCCAGAGTTGAGCTGTAGGGGAGACGGAGCCCGCCCTCATGTGGCCGCAGCTGCACAGGGGGGCTTTGGTGGGCTGGTATTGAAAGGCCCACCCTGCAGTTGGGGCAGCCTTTAGCAGTGAACCCTGGGGAGAGGGGAGGCCATGTGGTCGCCCTGGGCTGGGCTGGGCAGGAGGGGGCTGGGCCCTCTGGGCAGGGAGGAGGGAGCCGAGATCTGGACGGGAAGGAGGCAGGGGAGCCAGAAGCGGTTGAGACTGGTTCTTATAAATAGCCCTTGCACAAGTGGCTCCAAATTTGACCTTTTGTTATGTAAATGTGGCCAGCCTGAGGAGGGCCTTGCCCAGGCCTCCTGCCACCACGCCCGTCTGCCTGCCAGGAACTGTGTGCAGGCCACCAGCGCTCCCAAGGCCAGGAGGGCCTCTGGGGATCGTAGATCTCCTGTGTATCTGTGTAGATCTCCTGTGTATCTGTGTAGATCTCCTGTGTATCTGTGTGTTGCTGGGGTTTGGTACCCACCCCACTTCCTGCGTGTGAACGCCTTCCTTCTTCTTCCCTGCGATCACGGACTTGGGCACAGGGCTGCTGTTGCGGTTGGCGCCCCCCACGCTGACTGTCCGAGTGACTGCTTGTTTCCCATCCCCAGGTGCTGAGGCGGGCATTGATGCACCCCCAGGAAGCCCGCGCACTCAAGGAGGCCGCCCCCCGCTGGCTGCTGCTCACATGGTTTCTGGGCCCCTGGCACTCCGGTAGGCCAAGGGGGAGGCTCTGGGCCGGGAGGGTGGCGGAGCATGGAGCTGCCTGTGAGAGCCTGAAGGGTCCCACCTCCACCTGCAGAAGCAGGGCCTGGGCTGGACACACCTACACTCACACCTTCCCATTCCTGGGCTTTGTGCCATCTGCTGGCCAGTCCCCGGCAGCTGGAAGCAGGGTTGGGGCTGTGCTGCGCACCCCTGTGCCCCACCCCTGCTCTCCCTACCGTGGGACGGCCCGGTCCTTGGCAGAAGGGCCGCTCGGTGGTGTGGGGGAGCCTGGCTGGGAGTACCCTGTGCCAGTAGGCTTGTGTGTTCGCTGTGGAAACCAGAGGTGTGTGACCTCAGTGTCTGTGCCAGCCCGCCTGGCAGAGGCCAGCCTGTCCAATGCCCAAGCCGGGCCGAGGCATTTCCTAGAAAGGACACAGGACTCAAGGTGCCTGGTGCTGGGGCGGTGCTCAGAGCCTGCCCCGACAAGGCTCTCACGCACAGGTGGAAGTGGGCGAGGACCAGCGGCCGTGGAGAGAGGGTGTGGGGGTCTGGGAGGCAGGGAGCGAACTCCCCGCAAACCTTCAGCTTGGGCGCTCTTGTGGGTGGCCTGAGAAGCTGAGGCCAGCAGATGGCCGCTTGGACTTGTCCGGTTTCCAAAACAGCTTGCGTTTGGCACTGGGAGATGGGGCACGTGGAAATCCGGATTCCCAGCTGGTTTAGAAAGCTGGGAAGAGCAGCCCTGAGGCTCTGTGTTCCCAGGCAGGAATGGCCAGCTCACCGAGCGCTGCCACTCCCTCCCTTGGCCTCTGCTTCCTGCATTCCATAGCCACCTGCTGGTCGTTTTTGGGTCCTGTGCTTGTCTCCGTCCATCCATCCACCTGTGGGTCTGTGACCACCTTTTTATTTTTTTAAAGATTCATTTATTTTGAAAGGCAGATAGAGACAGATCTGCCATCTGCTGGTTCACTCCCCAAATGGCCGCAGGGGCCGGGGCTGGGCAAAGCTGAAGTCGGGAGAGCCTGGAATTCCATCAGTCTGCTGTGTGGGTGGCTGGGGCGGGGGCAGGTGCTTCCCAGGCACGTTAGCAGGAAGCTGGATCAGAAGCAGAGCAGCTGGGACTTGAACTGGAGCTCCAACAGGGGATGCCAGCCTGCAGCTGAAACCTTTGCTACTTCAATGCGGGGGCGGGGGGGGGGGGGACCAACCAGTTGCCTTTAGTGAGGAGAAGTAGCTTGGGTTGTGAAGCCAAATTCAAAGCTACTTGACCCTCTCGTGGCCCTCGACATCCATTTTGTCATTGATGTGAATGGGACGGAGGCCTCAGTGGGCTGGGCATAGTGAGCGTCCTGCCAGGGTCAGTGCAGAGCCACCCCCACCTCAAATCCTGCCCTGGGGCCCTGGCTGGAGTATGCCCCTGTGAGCTAACGGCTGCGTGCCTGTCCTTGCCCGCAGGTGGTGCGCGTGGGCCGGGCGTGGGGACATGGGGCCGGACATGGAGCTGCCCAGCCACTCGAAGCAACTCCTGCTGCAGCTAAACCAGCAGAGGACCAAGGGCTTCCTGTGTGATGTCATCATCATGGTGGAGAACTCCATCTTCCGGGCCCACAAGAACGTGCTGGCCGCCAGTAGCATCTACTTCAAGTCCCTGGTCCTGCACGACAACCTCATCAACCTGGACACCGACATGGTCAGCTCCACGGTGTTCCAGCAGATCCTGGACTTCATCTACACGGGCAAGCTGCTGCCCAGTGACCAGCCGGCCGAACCTAACTTCAACACCCTCCTCACCGCCGCCAGCTACCTCCAGCTGCCCGAGTTGGCAGCCCTTTGCCGCCGCAAGCTCAAGCGAGCCGGCAAGCCCTTTGGCGCGGGCAGGGTGGGGGCTGCGGGCGTGGGCCGGCCCCCCCGCAGCCAGCGGCTGTCTACAGCCTCAGTCATCCAGGCCCGGTATCCAGGGCTCGTGGACGGGCGCAAGGGGTCCCACATCCCCCAGGAGCTGCCCCAGGCCAAAGGCTCAGACGAAGAGGAGCTCTTCCTGGCCGGCTCGGCCCAGGAGGGCGCCCATGGCCTGGGCGGTGCTGTCTGTCCAGTGAGCGGTGAGGTTGGCCTGGGCGGCTGCGGCGGCAGCACCAATGGGAGCAGCGGGGGCTGCGAGCAGGAGCTGGGCCTGGACCTGTCCAAGAAGAGCCCGCCCCTGCCCCCTGCCACGCCCGGCCCCCACCTTACCCCCGACGACCCTGCGCAGCTGAGTGACAGCCAGCATGGCTCGCCCCCCTCTGCCTCTGCCCCACCCGTTGCCAACAGTGCCTCTTACTCCGAGCTGGGCGGCACCCCTGATGAGCCCATGGATCTCGAGGGGACCGAGGACAACCACCTGGGCCTGCTGGAGGGGCCCAGCGGGCAGCCCCGCAAGAGCCTCCGGCACTCGGCCCGCAAGAAGGAGTGGAGCAAGAAGGAGCCCGTGGCCGGCTCCCCTTTCGAGCGGAGAGAGGCAGGGCCCAAGGGCCCCGGCCCCGGGGAGGAGAGTGAGGGGCTCGGGGACAGGGTTCCCAATGGCATCCTGGCCAGCGGCGTTGGCGGGGGCAGCCAGGGTGGGCCCTATGGGGAGCCCCCGTACCCCTGCAAGGAGGAGGAGGAGAACGGCAAGGATGGGAGTGATGACAGCGGGCAGAGCGGGAGCGAGGGGGGCGGGGGCCACGCCAGTGGTGCGCATTATATGTACCGGCCCGAGGGCTACGACAGCGTGCCCTACGGGGACAACCTGTACGTGTGCATCCCCTGCGCCAAGGGCTTCCCCAGCTCGGAGCAGCTCAACGCGCATGTGGAGACGCACACGGAGGAGGAGCTGTTCATCAAAGAGGAGGGGGCCTACGAGACGGGCAGCGGGGGCGCCGAAGAGGAGGCCGAGGACCTGTCGGCGCCCAGTGCGTCCTACGCGGCCGAGCCCCGGCCCTTCAAGTGCTCGGTCTGCGAGAAGACCTACAAGGACCCGGCCACCCTGCGGCAGCACGAGAAGACCCACTGGCTCACGCGGCCCTTCCCCTGCAACATCTGCGGCAAGATGTTCACGCAGCGCGGCACCATGACGCGCCACATGCGGAGCCACCTGGGCCTGAAGCCCTTCGCCTGCGACGAGTGCGGCATGCGCTTCACGCGCCAGTACCGCCTCACCGAGCACATGCGCGTGCACTCGGGCGAGAAGCCCTACGAGTGCCAGCTGTGCGGCGGCAAGTTCACGCAGCAGCGCAACCTCATCAGCCATCTGCGCATGCACACCTCCCCATCCTAGAAGCCAAAGACCCGCGGGCGCCCTCTGTGGCTGGAGAAGCGAGGAGGCGGCGGCGCAGCGGGAGGGGCTCCCGGCGGCCCCGGCCCGCCCAGGCCCCGCCTCCACACACCCAGAGAGAGCTTTAATCGACAGTCTGTACCAAGGGAAGCTGAGAGGAGAGAAGCCGCCGGCGGCCCGACCCGGGCATGGTGCTGGTGTCCAGTCTACCTCCCCCCCCAACCCGGCTGCCAGCTTCCCCTCGGGGAGTGGCTCGCGTGGGTGTTGCCTGGGGGGAACCTGGTCCCTTTGCTGCCGGCCAGGTGCGTGAGTCCTGCTCTGTGCTAGCAGAGGCCAGGGGTGCTGTGTGCCCTGCAGGGGCCGTGTCTGTGTGCGTGCACGTGTGCTTGTGTTTCTGTGCGGGGCGTGCGGGTGGCCCTGGCTCTACAGGGAGCAGGTGCTGGGGAGGTGGGGGTGGGGTGGGGTGCAGGGTAGAGCCTCCCTCCGTGAGCCAGGACAGACCCCGCTCGCTGATGCTGGAACAGTCAGGGTGAACTCACCCGCCTACCTCTCCAACTTAAGAGCCCTCGGGGCCTGTGTTGCTGTTGATTTCCTACTGATCTGTTCCTTTTTTTTTTTTTTTTTTGAATTGTGTTTTTTAAAACCAAAACCAACAAGAGTTTGTTTTCTTCCCGGCCCGCTTTGGGGCCGAGCCTGGGTCTGCAGACTGAATGTAATCGGGGCGGCTGGCCTGCCTGCTGCCCGCAGCCCCCGGCGCTGCGGGGGTGCACAGGGGAGCCTCCTCCTCTAGGCCCCCCAGGAGCCTGTCTTCCCCAAAGGCTCCCTGGCCCCAAGAGCCTCGCCTCAGGAGAGAGAGTGCTTTTTCCTAGTTTCCAAGGAATATTCTTTGTTTAGAGGTACTTGTGGTTTGTTTTTTGTTTGTTTTTTTTAATTAAGAGGAAAAACCAGTGTAACGTTTATGAGACTGTTGGAACTGGAAGGTCTGGGGTTCCAAGCGGCTGGAAGTGAGGCCGGGGCCGTTGGTGTTTCGTGTTTGCATTTCCGGTGTGGGTGTGGTGTGTGGCGTGTGCGTGGGCGGAAGTTTCGCTTTCCTTCCCCACTGAACAAGGTGGAGAGACCTCTGACCTTTTTGCTACCTCTTGGATCCATTGATGACACAGTGATGCTGGGTGCTGGGGCCGCTCTCCTGGTGCACCTGCTGCTCACGTGTGGTTCTGGCATCCCAAGCCTGGGAGCGCCACGCACCTGAGTGGAAGGGAAACCGCGAGGAGGAAGCAGCTCTGTCAGGGCCAGGGTGAGGCGGAAGTGAGCCCCCCACCTCCCCCTCCAATGCCTGTGGGACCTGGAGCTTGGGAGGGCAGTAGCCCCTGCCAGGCTAGCGAGTGAGTGAGTGCGAGCGAGTGAGCTGTGGGAGGAGCTGACCAAAAATGTGGACTCCCTGGAGGTGAGGGGATGGGCACCTCCCAAGTGGGCATCTGGTCCCCACTGTCACCCTCGCCTTGGGCTTTCTCAGCCACCTCTGGGCCCCTAGCCAAGGGCAGGCCAAGGGCACTGCTCTTGGCTCACAGCCCTCAGCGTCTCTCAGAGCTGTGGGGCTGGGCTGGCCAGCAGGGTCTTAATCTTCACTTGGCTTCACACTTTTCTCTTGGGTTTTTTTTGTTTTTGTTTTTAAGTTTAGACCAAAAAACCTACGTTGTTTCCTACCCCTCCAGGGACCTCCTGCTGAAGACAGAGCCTCAGACCGGGGACCCAGGTGGTGAACTGGGTGTGTTTGGGGGGTGTGAGGGCAGCCCAGCCACAGCAGGCTCCTCTTCCCTTCCGGGAGGGGGGATGGAGGACCTGGGGCTGGAGTTCCAGCAAGTGGGCCTGGGGACCTGAGTGGAGCGCCTCCACCCCCACACACCCCGCCCCAGGCTCCCCCCAACCCCACAAGGGAGCAGGGCCCCTGCTCTCCCCACCCCGTCAGCACTTAAGCCACACGACGCAAAGTCTGTACCACACAGGGATCATTCAGGCCGGGCCACGCGCTTGGTGGCTTCCAGCCGTGGCAGCCGCAGCATCTGCAGGGTGACTCCTGGAAGAAGTAGGCAATTCAGGGACTGGGGGGCCCAAAGCCCTCACCCGGCGGCGACGGCCATGCGACCTAGTATTGTACCCATCCTAGTATTGTATGGAGCCTTTTCTGTATTTTAACGAGAAAGCAAGAACACTAGTTTCCTATTTAAGATTTTGAGGGTTTGTGGGGGTGGTGCAGGGGGTGACACAACACTTGGTTTTTCTCCCTCCCTTGCACCCCCCCATCCGTGTTGAGTGCGTGCTTGTGCTTGCGGGAGTGTGCGTGGTGCTGAAGGGCCTCGCTGGGACATCGGGCGCCGTCGGAGGCCACGGCGGCGGCCACTTCTCTGCTTTAGCCACTTAGTTCCTGAATGTTTCTCGGAGAAACAGGAACCAGAAAAAATAGCAGATGTCACGTAGGAAAAGAGGAAAAGCAAAAAAAAAAGAAAAAAAAAAAAAAGGAAAACAAAAGAAAAAAGGAAAAAAAAAAGCTCATACCCAAATTCACAAAACCTATTTTTTAAACCAAAGCACATTTTGAATGAGTATGGAACCTCAGTGGGCTCAGAAAAAAAGATACTAATATATTTATCTCATTGTTTACATAAACTTGCGTAGTTTCAGACCTCAGCAGCTGTAAGACCAGTCCCAAGGACGGCCCTCTTTCCCAGCTCAGGTGGGCAAAGGCAAGCCCTGGGGGCAGGGCAGGGGGCTGGGAGTCCCCCCCCCGGGAATCACTGCTCTCATCAACCCCCCCCCAACTCCGTTCCTGGGGCCTCCCCAGAGCCCAGCTGGCACCAAAGAGCTCGGACCCGAGCTGACCCTGCCCCTGAGGCCTGCGGGCGGGACTGCGGCAGTCCCAGCCAGCACCCCGAGGGGCTGCCGGTAGGCTCTGGCTACAGGGCCCCTGTCTGGGCTGGGGCCTCGGGGTGAGGTTGGCTGCCCTGCCCGTGTCCCTTGGGGTGGGCTGATGCGAGGGTCTTGGGCCAAACAGTGTGGACCTCGCAGACAGCTCAGTCGACTCCCTCCCTCCCGGGAAGGGGGGACCTCAGTGGCACCCAGCCCAGGCAGCGGAAAGGGGCTGCCCCGGGGCTGGTCCTTACCTACACAGACGGTGCGAACACTCTGACCAGTGTTGTTTTTGTATCAATATGTTTGTGCAGTGATGAATGTATTTATTTCTCAGACTGGGCGCGAGCGTGTGAGCAGCAGGCCGGGCTGCGCCACCGCCGGCTCCCGCTGGAGCAGAGCCACAAGCAAGGGCTCCTTCCAGGATTGCAAAAAAAAATTTTTTTTAAAGGAAAAAAAAAAAAAAAAAAGACGAACCTTTAAGCAAATAAGAATCTCAGAGACTCGCAGCATAGCCATACACCTCAGCCTGTGAACCGAACAATCCGGACCCAGACTGACTGCCCCGTCCGCGCGCCATCGTGTGTGTTTCCCGTCCTCGCCGCTGGGGGGCGCCGGGTCGGGGCTCCCCCCTCCCAATCCCCACCCTGTCAGTATTCACCGAACCTCAGGCCCCGCCCCGTGCAGGAGTGCGATCCGGGCGGCTGGGCAGGCAGACCCCTTGCCGCCCGCCACCATCCTGGGTCCCTGGGTCGGGAAGGGCCTGGGCAGCCTTGAAGGGGGAGCAGGGGTGGGGGGGTGGGGACAGGGCTCAGGGAGCAGGCGGCGGCGGCATCCGTCCCGCCCCCAGGTTTGGGGGACCAGAGCCGAGGGCGCCCTCGACCCTGCCACGTCCCCCCTCCCCCACTCCGCGGAAGGGACCAAGGTCCTGCCATCCCCCAGACTCACCCTGGGGCCCTTGATACTGAACCTGTGAATCGGATGCCAGCAGTGGGGGCGGAGCCTCAGTCTGACATTCCAAACCTGGGGTGGGTGTGAGTTGTAGGACTTCTGGCTGCCCAGGACCCCCCTCCCAGGATGCCCCCCACTTTATAATGTTCTACAGGAACCCCCCTCCCCCTACCTCACCTTGCTATTTATTGCTGTAATTTATTGACCTCAAAAATGCTGCATAACAGACCTCAGTGGGGCAGGGAGGGTCTCCAGGGCTCCCACCCTCCACTTGGCGGCCCCGCGGGGCCAGGTGCTGAGGGGAGTCTCTCTGCCCCCACCCACCCATCACTTGCTCCCCCCTGCTCCTGGGGGGCCCAGGTTGGGCTCTGGCCCATTTGCAAATACCTCGAGGGGGAGGGGAGGGGAGGGGTGTGTTTAGACCTGTTAAGTTTCATTGCAACTGGAAGAGGGATCTTGTCCTGCCACATCCAGGGGCAGGGCCCCCGGAATCGCACTCCTGTACTGGCCATACCGCGGTCACTTACCACACTGACCTCAGTGTCCCTCGAGCGTTTTTGGATAAAGTCAGGTCAGAGCTGCAGGTGCGCAGCCCTCCAATGTCCCAGAAGAGCGAAATCACCAACAACTGATCTCTCCGTGCAGAAGCGTGCAGTCTTAATGTACAGCGACGAGAAACTGTTATTTTATGATCTTTTCATTAAAAGCTCGACTGAAAAACCCTCATGGTGTGGGGCCTCTGGTCTGCTTTGGCTGTCTTCCCCAGGGAAAGCGACCTAGGATATAGGAGGGTGGGCGCTGGGGGGCTGCCTGCCACTTTCTGCATTGGATTGGGGCCTGAGCCCAGGAAGTCATGGCTGTGTCAGGGTGCGTGCAGAAGTCGGTGTCCAGGACCCCCCTTTGGGGTTGGTGAAGGGGCAAGGGTGGTGGGTGGTCTCTCCCACCCATGGCTCCCCCCTGCTGCTTTGTCCTGAGGGTGAAAAGGGGGGGATAAGGAAAAAATATAATTTCTGGGTCCCCAGAGTATATGACGACCCAGGAGGAGGAGCCAAAATTGGGACCCTGGCCCCTTGGCTCAGGACAGTGGCAGACGAGCCTCAAGGGTCTTGGAATCCCCCTACCCCCCAAGGACACAGTTGTTCCCTGTTCTAAATCTTGTCAGGTGTGATCCGTTTTCAAATTTTCCGTGTTACCAAAGTAATCCCTGAGTATAGCATAAATAGTTTTTTTTTGACAAAGTTAGAGAAAGGTCTTCCTTCCGTTGGTTCACTCCCCAAATGGCTGCAATGGCCCATGCTGCACTGATCCAAAGCCAGGAGCCAGGTGCTTCCTCCTGGTCTCCCATGTGGGTGCAGGGCCCAAGCACTTGGGCCATCCTCCACTGCTTTCCTGGGCCACAGCAGAGAGCTGGACTGGAAGAGGAGGAACTGGGACTAGAACCCGGTGCTCATATGGGATGCCGGTGCCTCAGGCGGAGGATTAACCAAGTGAGCCATGGCACCAGCCCGTAAATAGTTAAAATGTCTTTAGCAGGACCATTACTTATCCACCCAATTCTCATACACCAGCACTTTTAATTTCTAAAGCACTTGTCCTGTGCAAGACTTGCCACATAGGTAAATAATGGATTAAAAAAAAATTCATTTGAAAAGCAGAGAAGGAGAGCTTCCATCCACTGGTTCACTTCCCCAAAAGCTTGCAACAGCCAGGGCAGGAGCAGGCTGGAGCCAAGAGCCTGGAATGCCATCTGGGTCTCCCACCTGAGTGGCAGGACTCCCAGTACTTGGGCCATCACCTGCTGTCTTCCCAGGCACTTTAGCAGGAAGCTTGATTGGAAGCAGAGCAGCTGGGAGTTGAACCAGCGCTCCGATGTGGGATGTCGCAGCTCAACCTGCTGCACCACAGACGCGCCCTGAATAGAGTGCTGTCTTGATTCAACCTTTTCAGAGTCTGGACTTACTGATAAGGACCTGAATTCACTGAATTACATTTGCTTCCACCCATGATGTTGGCATCCCAGATGAGCCCCAGTTCGAGTCCCTGCTGTTCCACTTCCAGTCCAACTCCCTGTTAATGGCATCTGGGAAAGTAGTGGAAGGTGGCCAAAGTCCTTGGGCCCCTGCCACCCACATGGGAAACCTGGATGGAGTGCTGGGCACCAGTCTTCAGCCTGATCCAGGCAGCCCCAGCTGTTCATGGCTATCTGGGGGAGTGAAGCAGCAGATGGAAGATCTCTGTCCCTCCTTTTCTGTCACTCTGCCATTTTAATATATATACACACATATATGTATATATGTATAGGTATATATATGTATATATATGAAGTCAATCTGAACTCAGAAGTGATTACTAGAGGCTGGAATAGGGGAAGGGAAGGGTAGATGGAGGTTGGGCAGTGGACACCAAAGCACAGGTAGAAATAGCAAACAGTGTGACACACCATGGAGTGGCAGTTGTAGTTCCCAGTAATGCGTTGTATAGCATATGAAGAGTTGGGAGGTCCCAAACATAAGACCAAGGAAAAAAACGCTACTTAGCAGACCGAACAGTTTCCATGGATCACGTATTTGAAGTACCGCACTCTCTCCCATAAAAAATGTACAAGGATTACTTGCTAATTACCTGCCAATTAAAGCAGGTGCAGCATGTGACTGGCCAGTCCGTAGGCATTCTTAGCACCGGGCCAATCTGTCAACTTACGGCTGAGCCAGGTGCTGTACTGGGTCTTTTATCTCCTTGGTGCAATGTCTTTCTTTGAGGTTAATAATTGACTTGTTCATTTGGCCGGCTGCCTGTGAGTCATTGTCTGCCTTTATCCTTTGATCCCCACAAAAGGCTTCCAGTACAGTTTCAGTACAGCTTTTTCTCCCCCCCCCCCCCCACTGTCTGTTCTGGTACTTATTTATTTGTTGAGAGTCATCCTTCCTGGAGCCAGCCAGTGTTACACAGAAGGAGGTGGGACTCTCCCAGCTTCTGTCCTAAACGAAGAGCCCTGTCTACTGCAATGCGGGAGATGAGACGCTTGCTCGGGTAGCTCAATTCCTCCTCCAGTACGATCCCGAGAAACAGCACATGGGAAGCAGGTGTTTTGGAACTGAATGCTTTTCAATTGCGCAGAACTGAGAGCAGTCCAGCTGGGTATAAAACATGAGCTGGAGAGGCCGGCACTGTGGTGTAGCAGGTAAAGCTGCCGCTTGCAGTGCCGGCATCCCATATGGGCGCTGGTTCAAGTCCCGGCTGTTCCACTTCCAATCCAGCTCTCTGCTGTGGCCTGGGAAAGCAGTGGAAGATGGCCCAAGTTCTTGGGCCCCTGAACCTGTGTGGGAGACCCGGAGGAAGCTCCTGGATCCTACTTTCAGATTGGCTCAGCTCCAGCCATTGCGGCCAGTTGGGGAGTGAACCAGCAGGTGGAAGACCATTTTCTCCCTCTCTGTGTGTCTCCTCTCTCTGTGTAACTCTGACTTTCAAATAAATAAATAAATAAATCTTTAATAAAAAAAAAAAAAGATGTCTTTGGGGATGCCCATATCAGTGTATCTACTCTGCTCCCAGCTTCCTGCCAATGCACACCCTGGGAGGCATCAGCTGTGATGGGTCAAGTACTCGATTCCTTGTCCCTGACATGGGAGATCTTGATTGAATTACTGGCTCCTGGTTTCAACTTGGTATAACCCTGACTATTGTAGACATTTGAAGAGTGAATCAGAAAACAGAATATCCTCTCTCTCTCTGCTTTTCAGACTAATTGAAAATCAATAGATAACTTTTAAGGTTTATTTTATTTATTTGAGGGGCAGAGTTACAGACAGAGAAAGGGAGAGACAGAGAGAAAGGTCTTCCATCTGCTGGTTCACTCTCCAAATGGCTGCAACAGCCGGAGCCAGGCTGATCTGAAGCCAGGAGCCAGGAGCTTCCTCCAGATTTCCCACCCAGATGCAGAGGCCCAAGCAGTTGGGCCATCTTCTACTGCTTTCCCAGGCTATAGTAGGGAGCTGGATCAGAAGTAGAGCAGCCAGGACTCCAACCGGCGCCCATATGGGATGCCGGCACTGCAGGTGGAGGCTTAACCTACTAGAACATGGTGCTGGGGCCCTAGATAATTTCTTTATAAATGCCTCTTTCCAAGCCGGTATAGGGCCTCCCTGTGGCAAGAGCACGGGACATACAGGGAGCAGGGGCAGGGGAAGACAGTTGTGTGGTCCAGCCGGCATTGGTGCCCCCACCAAAGGAGAACTCAGGAGTTTAGTCCCCAAATCCTTAGATTAATGATACTAAGAGGCCTGGAACATTAATTCAATCACAGTATTTAAAAGCAGGTGCTGGCTGGCGCCACGGCTCACTAGGCTAATCCTCCACCTTGCGGGGCCGGCACACCGGGTTCTAGTCCTGATCGGGGTGCCAAATTCTGTCCCGGTTGCCCCTCTTCCAGGCCAGCTCTCTGCTGTGGCCCGGGAGTGCAGTGGAGGATGGCCCAAGTGGTTGGGCCCTGTACCCACATAGGAGACCAGGAGAAGCACCTGGCTCCTGGCTTCAGATCAGTGCAGTGCGCCGGCCGCAGCTTGCTGGCCACGTCGGCCATTGGGGGGTGAACCAACAGTAAAGGAAGACCTTTCTCTCTGTCTCTCTCTCTCTCACTGTCCACTCTGCCTGTAAAAAAAAAAAAAAAAAAAAAAAAAAAGCAGATGCTTAGAGAAGGGATTGGATTGGATGAAGTTGGTTGGGGGTGGACAGGTGGACGGGAGGGCCCATGATTGAATCATGACAGCTCTTCAAGGAAAGGGAGAAAGACTACCTGGAGGTGGACCCTGCCCTCCCTCTCTCAGCACCTGGTGCTCTGGCGCCGCCTGGGGCTCTGCCAGCAGGTTCGCCTTCACTGCAGGCTGAGAGCAGCGGGACCTCTTTCTTCTACAAAGTTAAGCCACCTGGGTGTTCTGTTACAGTAGCAAAAGGCTGACAGATACAGGAGGCACACACAGTTGCAAACCTGGAAGGAAGCTTTTAATGGCTCCTGCCACGTGACCTGGCCCCAAGCCCAACCTTTAAAGGTCTTAGGGGTGGGCTGCCTCGCACTGCCCCTACCTCCACAGGCAATCAGGGAATGGGGGCATGTGTGGGACCTGGGCCATGGGCTTAGGCACTGGATGCCGCGCTGTGCACCTGCCCCGCCCTGGCCAGTGTGGGCTTTCTCACTGTTTGGCACCAGGAAACGTAGGCGTGATCAGGAAGCTCCCACAGACCAGGCACCTGCGTGGAGGAGCTGGGCCAGGGACAGGCCCAGGGCTGAGGGGCAGGCAGGATGTAGGCTCTCCGGGGCAGGGGACCTATTGGCCTGGCCGTCCCTGGGGATCAGGGACTGGGTGAGTCTTCCTTGCAGGGTGTGGCTGCTGGTCTACCCAGCAAGAGCTAGTTCTGAGCTGGGGATGCCAGACAGGTTGGGGGGGGGGGTCTGGCTCTTGGGCAAGGCAGCAGACCCATGGGAGGTGGCTGTCCCGCTCTGGCATATCCCCTCCCCCACCTCCGCTGTCCATGTCAGGACTGGCAGAGCCCCTGCGGCACACGGGGCAGGCAGCAGCAGCAGGCTCCCTGGTCAGCCCTTGGGCCCTGCTGGGAAGGCGCAGGCAGTCCTCTCCAGCTCCACGTGCTCTGAGCCTGGCTGGCCTCGGTGGCGCCTCGGACTCCTGGCCGGAATCCAAAAAAACAAGCCATTGGCCCCGAGTGATTTAGGGACCAGCTTATGGCGTGGCTCAGCCCCTCTTCCTGTCGCAGGTGGGAGGAGCAGCAGCGGGAGCGATCGTGGCCACCCCTGCCCTAGATGCTCCTGCAGCCGCAGGTGAGCCGGACTCTTGGCAAAGTGGTCCCACCTTGCTGACCGGAAGCCTGCAGGCACGCGGCCTGAGGCCTGAAAGGAAAGGGCACCCGCCGAGGCCGCCGGAAGCTCCCTAAACTCCCGGGTGGTGTCAGAGCGCGCGGCCTGGGGGAAGGGGACCCGGGCAGCGGCTCCCAGTCCTGAGACTTCACTGGGGGCCCCCCAGGGCAGGGGGCGAGGGGCGTGTCCTGGGTGGGGGCGGGGTTAGAGGACTCTGCACAGGGGTAGGGCGAGGAGAGAGGGTGTGGCTGCCGTAAGAAACTTGCCTGGGGCCAGAGATGGGCGAAAGGCGTGAGGGGCTTGGGGCCTGGCACCAGTTGGCTCCTGAATGGCCTTGAAAAGGCAAATCAGGGAGCAGAGGCTTGACCTTGAGGCTTCGAGGCCCGGCGCTGCGGCGGGTGGGGCTGGGGAGGGGTGGGTGGATGGTTCAGGCTGCACCTTATAAAGCACCTGTGTGTTCTCACTGCCCTGGGGGCTTGAAGGTCTGGGTCAGGAGGGTTCCTCCCCCTCCCTATTTTTATGTATTTAATTGAGAGAAGAGAGGCTGAGAGTTGCCATCTGCTTGTTGACTACCCAAATATCCTTGATGGCCCCTGACCAAAGCCTGGAGCTGGGAACTCAGTTTGAGTCTCCCACGTGGGTGGCAGGGACCCATCACTGCTGCCTCCTGGGGTGTGCATTAGCAGGAAGCTGGAGCTAGAAGTGGAGCCACGGTTGGAACTTAGGTCCTCAGATACGGGACATGGGCATCTTGTTTATCTACCTTTTATAGATGTATTTATTTATTTGAAAGGCAAAGCAAGAGAGAGAAAGAGAGCGAAAACTTCCATCTACTGGTTCACTCCCCAAATGGTTGCAATGGCCAGAGCTGGGCTGATCCAAAGCCAGGAGTCTAGAACTCCATCCTGGTCTCCCACGTGGGTGGGCAGGGACCCAAGCACTTGGGCCATCCTCTGCTGCCTTCCCAGATGTGTTAGCAGGGAGCTGGATGGGAAGTGGAGCAGCCAGGACTTGAACCCGACACTCCAATATGGGATGCCGGTGTTACAAGCAAGGCTCAACCCTCTGCACCACAACACCAGCCCTGATGACCTCTTTAAAGACCATATCTCTGGGCCGGTGCCGTGGCTCACTAGGCTAATCCTCCGCCTTGTGGTGCCGGCACACCGGGTTCTAGTCCCGGTCGGGGCGCCGGATTCTGTCCCGGTTGCCCCTCTTCCAGGCCAGCTCTCTGCTGTGGCCAGGGAGTGCAGTGGAGGATGGCCCAGGTGCTTGGGCCCTGCACCCCATGGGAGACCAGGAGAAGCACCTGGCTCCGGCAAGGGGGACAAGAAAGTTGTTGCCATTGTGGGGGTGGAGAGAGACTGGGCGGGTCCCCGGCAGCAGCCACCCTTTGGGCAGGTGTGCATCTGCAATCCCATGCTCCCATCTCTGCCCGTGTTTCCCTGGTGTGACTCACACAGGCCCGGCAGTCACATAGCAGGTGGCATGAGAGGTGGCCACTCCTTAGAGGGGGGAGGCACTCCTGAGAAGGTTGCTCAGCCCTGGGAGAGGGGACCAATGGGGCAGCATCTTGGTTTAGCTCCTCTGCCAAGGGTGGAGGGGGAGGCATAAAGACCCTAAAAAACGCATACTGGATGCGTGGTGCCCTGGCGTGGGGAGGGAGCTGCCATTTGGATGCGATGTGAAGGAAAGGCACTGAGGGAGGGCACAGGCAAAGGAGAAGCGTGTGCTCAGGCCCTGGAGCAGACAGCAGGAGGCCAGTTCCCTCGCCCAGTGTTCCTTCCTCAGGAGTAGGCTTCTGGGTGATGTCGGACCTTTGGAGTTGTGAGAGGATTTGGAACCGTGTTCCATGAGTCGGGAGGGCTGTGGGGCACCTCCCTGGCTGCTGTAGGGAGGGGGTGGAGCAGGCAGACTCTAGGAGGTGGTGGAATGGTCCAGCCAGAGCCATGAAGCTAGGGGTGGCGAGAGGGCAGCAGGGAGAGGTTCAGGTTAAGTCTATGCAGGGAGCACCCTCTGTGCCACTGACCGTGACCACTGCGGTCTCAGCGTGCCAGCACCTGAGATCCTCCGAGGACTACAAAAGGGTCAGGTCAGGAGCAGGACCCTGCACACACCCAGGGGAGGGACCTAGTGGCACAGGTCAGATGGTGACGCCTGCATTGCTAGATGGCCACTTTTCTCAGGCACTGGAATGCATCTCTTTTTTCAATTACAAATAGTTCTCTTACTAGGAAAGCTATGAGGGGCTGGTGTTGTGGTGTAGCGGGTTAAGCTGCTGCTTGCGATGCCGGCGTCTTATCTGAGCACTGGTTCGAGTCCTGGCTGCTCCACTTCTGATCCAGCTCCCTGCTAATGCACCTGGGAAAGGTGGCCCATGTGCTTGGACCCCTTATACCCACGTGGGAGACTAGGAAGAAGCTCCGGGCTCCTGATTGGCACGGCTCCGGCCGTTGCAGCCATTTGGGGCATGAACCATCTGTTGAAGACTTTTATATGTTCGTGCGAGAGACCTGTCGCTCCCCCTCTTCGTGGAGGAACGACACAAGACCCTGCGCTGTTCTTTGTCTGCTTGGCCCTCCCCGGGTTTGCTGCTGGTTCTTCCCGGGTTGGCTACCGACCCTTCCACCTCCATAGAAGGGCGGTTCCCCCGCCACTTTCCCCACTTCCGTGGGGGAGCGGCACACCGGGGGCTGCACAGGTGTTCCTTCAGATAGATGTTCCTGGTGCATGTTGTCTCTCTCCTCCTTTATAGTCCTCTTCCACCAATCCCAACTCTGCTATCCACACGCCGAGTACGCTGCTCTCCTCCAATCAGGAGCAGGATCAGCTCCTGCAGGTCATCACTCAAGTTGGCGAGAGGCAGCTGCGTAGAAGTTGTTACTCCCTTCTCAGCGCCATATTGTGGGAGAGCAGATGCATAGAATAAGTCTTAATTCCAGTAACAGTCTAGTCCGAGTTGCTCCCCACAGAGACCTTGAGGATTTAATTTTTTTTTTTTTGACAGGAAGAGTTAGACAGAGAGACAAAGAAAAGTCTTCCTTTTTCCATTGGTTCACCCCCAAAATGGCCGCCACAGCTGGCACTGCGCTGATCCGAAGCCAGGAACCAGTTGCTCCCTCCCGGTCTCCCATGTGGGTGCAGGGCCCAAGGACCTGGGCCATCCTCCACACCTTCCCAGGCCACAGCAGAGAGCTGGACTGGAAGAGGAGCTACCGGGACAGAACCGGCGCCCTGACCGGGACTAGAACCTGGGGTGCCGGTGCCGCAGGCAGAGGATTAGCTAAGTGAGCCGTGGTGCCGGCCGAGGATTTAATTCTTTAAAGACTTGCATTTTGTTATTCCTCGAGCCACCCAATCCTCTTAAATAGTCGCATGAGTACAAGTTCTTCCATTATCTTGATATTTCAAACTTTACTTCCATCTTTTTTCAGTTGGGAAATAAAGTTTCAAAGACAGAGTCCTCTGAGGTTTCCATACAGGCATGTATTTTATTTTTACAATCGTGTCCTGTCCCACAGACTTTTATTGAGTCTCTCTCAGCCTGCCCTCCTCCTGCTGGGACCCGCCCGCAGGGCTGCCCAGGAAGGTAGCAGAAGCGTGTTCAGCAGCAGAGAGCAGGCTCCAAGCTTGGGCGGCTCAAGAGGTGGACGCGGCAGGTGGGCAGTCGAGCTTGGCTCCGGGGTGGGGGTGGGGGCTTGCGTTAAAACTCAGCTTTCCTGTGTGTTGAAACGCGTCCCGAGCGCACACATTTCCCGTTGTCGTGTCTGTGTGTGTGCGGAGTGGGTGGGGAACAGTGGCTCCACGCGCTAGGCTATTGCGGGAAACCACAGGGCAGGACGCATGGGGGGCGGGGCAGCCCCCAGCGGCCGCCCCTCGCCCCCGCTCCCGGTCAACCCGTGTGGGACGCCAGGGCAAACCACGCGTGGGCCCCGCCACCGCGGCCTCCCACCGCGTCTTCACCGCTGCCCTAAGCGCCCGCCCCAGGCGTTAGCCTCTTGCTGGTCTTTCATTGATCCGATCATGGCGTTTGCTTACATTTTTATAAATGATGAACTAAGCTGGCTCTGGCCAGACGCACTCGGGGGGCGGGGCAGGAGGGGAGCGGAGGGGCGGCTCTGTGCTCGGGCGCCTCCTGCCGTCCATTGTGACGCCGACCAGGGCTGGGTGGGGTGGCCGGGTGTCTTAGGCGAGCTGGGGGGCCAGGCAGAGCCCCTGGAGCCATGGCCGAGGAGCAGGAGCAGCTGCTGCAGCTGCAGAAAGACAACCGCGACGGCCGCCTGCGGAAGCAAGAGCTGGAGGAGCTGGTGCGCGGGCTGGAGGCGGAGAGCGAGAGCCTCACTGGGCGCCTGCAGGACCTGCGCGAGCGGGAGCGGAGGTGCGCGCGCGCGATTCGCGGAGCACCTGCCGACTGCCCAGGGCCCTGCACGCACACACACACACACACACACACACCCCAGTTCTAGGCGGTTAGGACCGGGGCGTTACCTCCAGGTGACCTGGGAGGCGGAGGGCGCAACCCCAGGGCCCACCCTCCCCCAGACCGCGTCTGGCCTTTCCTGGGGAGGGAGGGTTTGGGAGATCCCGATTCCCCCTCCGCACCCTCCGCAGCACTGGACTCCGTTTCCTCCGCAGCCTGCAGCGGAGGCGAAGCCAGGCGGCGCGGGCCCTAAGAGGCGAGGCGCGCGAGGCGGCGCGGGAGCGTGCGGAGCGGGCGCGTGGGCTGCTGGAGGCGGCGGAGCGGCACAAGCGGGACCTGGTGTGTGTCGGAGGGACCCTGGGGGCGGGACCCCGGGGGCGGGGCCTCTGGCGTGGCCGGGACCGCCCTCTGGACCCTCTCCTCAGGAGCAACACAACCAGCAGCTGCAGGAGCAGTGGGAGGAGCTGTCCAGTCAGGTACGTGCAGGAATGGCCCTGGGCCCCGCTCCCGTCCCCAGCCCCCTGGACAGCGCCCCCCTTCCTCACGAGCTCCCCTCCTAGCTCTTCTACTACGGAGGGGAACAGCTGAGTCAGCAGCGCGCGGAGCAGCAACTCGGGACCCAACTGGTGGCGCTGCAGGTGCTTGGGCGGGGCCTTGAGGGCCGGGGCCACGCCCAACGCGGTACCCCCCTCCCCCGTTCCTGACCATCCTGCTATCCTCCCCCTCCCCCAAGAAACAGCTGGAGCTGCTGGAGGCCAAGTTCGCCATGCAGGCGCAGGGCCTGCGGCAGGTGCGCGTGCGGAGCTGGGATCCTGGCGGGGAGAGGGGAGATGGTGGGCTTTGCGTGTGGGTGGAGCTTGGGCAGGTGCAGGAGGGTAGGGAGGGGGAGGGGTGAGTCCTCTGGAGTCTAATCGGAGCTCCCCGCACCCCAGGGCGCGCAGCGGACGGAGGAGGCCTGGGCCAGCTTCCAGGAGCAGAGCGGAGTCCTGCAGGTGGCCTCCAGCCCCCTCCTCCCCAGCCCCCTCCTCCCCAGTCAGGCCGCTGGAAGGCCTGACTCGCAACCCTTCCAGGAGCTGCAGGGAAAAGTAATGGAGGCGGCAGCTGCGCTGGACGCCTCTAGAGGAGGCCGGGAACCGTAAGAGGGAGTTCGGGCTGTTGAGTGCGGCGGGGCGACGGTGGGGGCACGGGGCAGTCCGCCCACCCACCCCTCGCCGCAGGTGGGACTCGCAGCCTCGCCGAGTGCAGGACTGCGCGGGCTCGCTCATGGAGGAGGTGGCCAAGGCGGACTGTGTGAGCGCGGGCTGGGGCGGGCTGCAGCCGGGGCCCGCCTCCCACGGGGGAGCCGCCCCCCTCGCCCCCACGAGGCGCCGCAGCCCGTGCCTCCCTGCGCGTCCCGCGGGAGCTCTGGCTTGGCGCAGCGTGGAGCTGGACGCCCCGCTCTCGAATCCCCGCAGGAGAAGCGGCTGTTCGGCGGCGTGGGCGCAGGTGGGATCAGGTGAGCCGGACGGCGGGTGAGCGGGCGGGCGGGCGCGCGCGGCTCCGGTTCACCCCCGGGGTGCCCTCCGCCGCCAACCGCGCGTCTGCCTGACGTCCGTAGGCTGTGGGCTCTGGGCGCGCTACAGACCCTGCTGCTGCTCCCGCTCGGCTTCCTGGCGCTGCCGCTGCTCTACGTGGCGTTGCTGAACCCCGACGCCATCCGCCGGGGACTCCCGCGCCTCGGCTCGGACGCCGCCTTCCGCCGCCTGCGCTACACGTTGTCCCCGCTGCTCGAGCTGCGCGCGCGCGGGCTCCTGCCCGCCTAGCGCGCATCACGCCGGCCGCCCGCACCTCTGTGTCGCGTGTGTGGTTTCTGGGGGCGCCGAGGGGGCGATGGCCGGGATGCGGGGCGGGGGTGGTCCGGAGGATCAGCGCCGAACCTTCTAGAAGGAGCCTGCGCCCCGGGGGGCGGCCCCAAGTTGCCTTTCCCACCGCCCCCCGAGGGTCTCTGCAGCTTCCTTCGTGCGCACTGGGGGAGCTGGGCGGGTGCCTTCCCGCGGGCGCTGCCGGCTCTGCGCGTCCGAGCTCGCCCGCATCTTTAGTGGAAATGAACCAGAAAGTTGCATTCTGATACAAATACCGCTCTGCTTGGCTTTCTTAAAATTATTAATGAAATTGGTTTTGGGCCGGCGCCGCTGCTCACTAGGCCAATCCTCCGCCTTGTGGCGCCAGCACCCCGGGTTCTGTCCCGGTTGTCCCTCTTCCAGGCCAGCTCTCTGCTGTGGCCAGGGAGTGTAGTGGAGGATGGCCCAAGTATTTGGGCCCTGCACCCCATGGAAGACCAGGAGAAGCACCTGGCTCCTGCCATCGGATCAGTGCTTTGCGCCGGCCCGCAGCGCGCCGGCGGCGGCGGCCATTGGAGGGTGAACCAACGGCAAAGGAAGACCTTTCTCTCTGTTTCTCTCTCTCACTGTCCACTCTGCCTGTCAAAAAAAAAAAAAAAAAATTGGTTTTGGCTTATCTGCCTGTGAACAGACACGTAGGTTTTTGCTACGCCCTTTAAGCTAGTTTTTTCTTATTGATCTGCCCGATTTGGTAAATCTATGTATGAAAAAAAGATTTATTTGAAAGAGTTACAGAGAGATGCCCATCACAGGTCCACTCCTCACATGTGCTGGGAGGGGCCCTGAATGCAGATCGCACCTGTGGGCTGTGGGCGCTGCTGCTTTCCTCAGTCTGAAGCTGGAGTCGGCGCTGGAGCGGCTGTGGAGCCCAGGTGAGGGCCAGCTGCCTTAACCAGCGCCCAGAGCACCAGGCTAAACGCCCACGCAAGAGGCATTCCTTTTACCAACGCGAATTAGCTTGATTTGCTCCCCCCACATCGTGTACCATAGCATCGGGGCCGCTGCCTGCAGCGCCGGCATCCCCCATGGGCGCCAATTCGAGTCCTGGGTGCTCCACTTCCGATGCGAAGCCAGGCTCTGGGGTTCGTCTCCCGTGTCCCACATTTTCAGAGTTGGCGGGTGACTGTCCTCAGCACTCTTTCATTTGGTTTTTGGTCTCTGCAGCAGTCTTCTCTAGTTTGTGGCTTTAGACCCTCCAACTCTCCAGGAGAGCAAACAGCATTTTTAGCTTCTTTGCTGGATTTAGCTGAATTTGCTGGGTTGCCGGGGTCTGGGTATGTAGCGTGATTGAGTTCTTTGCCAGTTGGACAAACTGCCTTTTGATAAGTCCTGTGGAGTTATTTCTTGTATATTTGAATTTATTTCTACTGTGATATAATGTGTTAATCCTGATCCCCCCCACACTGGGTTGTTCTAGAAATCACTCTTTGTGGCGTCCCTACTACTGGACCGTGGCTCATGTCTGTCATTCTCCCTAAATGTGACCTGATTATTCCCTCTGGACCTGCTATTTTTTAGTTAGTGCCACTTTCATTTATTGATTTTTTTTTAAAGATTTGAAAGGCAGAGATTGATTGATCCATCTTCCATGCACTGGTTCACTCCCCACATGGCTGCAATGGCCAGGGCTGGGCTAGACTGAAGCCAGGAGCCAGGAGCTTCTTCCTGGTCTCCCACACGGGTGCAGGGGCCCAAGCACTTGGGCCATCTTCTGCTGTTTCCCCAGGCCAAAGCAGAGAGTAGGATCAGAAGTGGAACAGCTGGGACTTGAACAGGTGCCCACAGGGGATGCCGATGCTGCAGATGGCAGCTTAACCCACTACATCACAGCACCAGTCCATTTCATTTTATTTTATTTTTTAAGATTTATTTATTTGAAGACAAGAGTGAGGGATATTCCATCTGCTGACTCAGTCCCCAATAGCCTCAACAGCTGGAGCTGTTCCCAACCTAAGCCAGGAACTTGGAGCTCCATCTAGGTCTCCTATCCATGTGGCAGGGGCCCAAACATTAGGGCCATCCTCTGCTGCTTTCCCAGATGCACAGAGTGGGATCAGAAGCGGAGCAGCTGGGACTCAAACCGGTGCTCTGATGTGGGGTGCTGACATTGCAGGCAGCTAAAGCTTAGCTCGCTGACCCACAGTGCTGGCCTGTAGTTGCACTGTTTTCCCTCCGGATATCTTACTGTTACTGATTCCTCACTTAATTGCAGACAGCAGCATCTGTATGACTTTTACTGAAGTTCTATCTATGTATCTGAAAGGCGGAGGGGACACAGAGATCTTCTGTCCACTGGTTCAGTCCCCAAATGCCTGCAACCCTGGATGGAGCCAGGAGCCAGGAGCTCCATCCATCCAGACCTCTTGTACTTAAGGCCTCCTGGGGCCTCCTGGGGTGTGCATCAGCAGGAAGAGGGAATGGAGCCTGGAGCAGGGCATTGAACCTCCTATCTGGGCATCTTAACCACTAACTGCCCACCCACATAGTCCCTGCTTTTTAACCTTTTTTTTTTTTTTTTTTTTTTAAGACTTGTTTACTTGAGGGCACAGTTAAGAGAGGGAGAGACAGATGGGGCCTTGTTGCTTAGCTGGTTAAAGTGCCTGTCCAGTGAGAGGGAGAGACAGGTCTTCCATATTACTGGTTCACTCCCCCAAATGGCTGTAATGGCTGGAGCTGGGCTGATCTGAAGCCAGCAGCTAAGAATCTGAGTCTCCCACATGGGTGCAGGGGCCCAAGCACTTGGGTCATCTTCTGCTTCCCTAGGCCATCAGCAGGGAGCTGGATCAGAAGTGGAGCAGCTGAGATTCCAGCCAGTGCCCATATGGGATGCCGGCACCACAGGCCGGCCCCACTTTTTAATTGAATTGTTCAGCCCATGTTGAACATAATTGTTGATATAGTTGGGTTGAGGTCTGCTAACTATGATTTCTCTGTCTCATCCATTATTTTTTCTATTTTTCCTTTGCTGCCTTCATTTGGATTAGTATATATATATTTTAAAGATTATTTATCTGAAAGGCAGAGTTAGAGAGGGTGTGTGTGTATGTGGGGGGGAGGGGGAGACAGGTTTTCCACCTGCTGGTTCACTCCCCAGATGGCCACAACTACTGGAGCTGAGCCAGTGGGAAACCAGGAGCTGCTTCTGGGTCTCCCATGTGGGTTGCAGGGCTATGGAGCAGCTGAGACTCGAACTGGCACCCAGATGGGATGACAGCACTGCAGAGGGTGGCTTAACCTGCTAGGCCACAGGGCCAGCCCCTGGATTAATATTTACAAACTTCATTTAACTTACATACATATTGGCTTCCATCTCTTTCCATACTGCTAACTCAAACTGTGCTTTTGGAACTGGGTAGCTGTGGTTTTCATCAAGTCTTGTCAGGTTGGTTGGAGTGCCTGAATTTAAAAAAAAAGATTCATTTTTCATCTACTTGAATGGCAGTGTGAGAGAGAGGAGACAGCTTTCTCTCCCACAAGTCCGTGCTGGGCCAGGCTAAAGCACACAGACCAGAACACCATCAGGGTCCCCGATGGGAGTCGTCGGGGCCCAAGCACGCAGGCCATCAGCTGAGCATTAGCAGCACGCTGGACAGAGCGTGGTAGCTGGGCCCGGCCCCGGCCCTGCGCTCCGATAGGGGATGCAGGTGTCTCAAGTGGCGGCTTAACCCAGGGTGCTGCCAGCCACCCCCCTCCCCGGTTCAGTTTTTCTTAACCACGCTCACTGTTGCCCGGTGACTGGTTTCTTTGCCCCGTTTCCTGTGTGCTTCAGGTAATGGGGCCACGGTGGCTGGGGGCTGCTCATGCGGGGACCTCAGTCCCGGAGCATAGCACCTGATTGGCGCAAACACGTGCCCAGGAGACGCGGCTGCCCGGAGGGAGACTGCACCAACCCAGAGCAGCACTTTTTTTTGCTCTGTGCCGTGTGTGGCGCTCCCGTCTGTTAAGCCGCATCCTGTGGGCCTGGGCCTATGACCCCAGCGGCCTGGTCTTTACCCTGGGAAAAGATGGCAAACTCCACCACTGGATGTTGTTGGCTTTTTATTTTGTCTCCATTGGTAAAATCTGAAGTTGAATACTTTTTAATACACAAGAAAATACTTCATGTACCTATGAAGTACATGGGAGTGGAAGGAAGTAGGGTAGGTGGATGCTCTCAGAAACACACACACACACACACACATGCACGTGCTCTCACATATGCATGCTCTCATGCACAGGTGTGCACAAGGCACATGAACACATGCATGTGCAAACACACATGCACCCAGACACACGCAAGGATATGTGCATGCTTATATGTGTGCACAATGCCCACACACGCACGCACATATACTTATGCTCTCATGCATGCACACACAATGCTCTCATGTGTGCACACACATGTGCATACATGCCCCACACATGTTCACATTCATGGGTGTGCAAGGGCACATGTGCACATACTTTCATGCACATGTGCACAATCTGGTGCACGCTGTACACAGATGTGACAGGGGTGGTCCCAAGATGCCCACAGAGAGAAGCTGGAGGCAGACACAGCCTGAAGCTGCCATCATCACTAGGGCAGGAGGGTTGCATGGGTGGCTGCTGATGGTGCCTGCACCCCACCCTCACTGTGGGGACCCCAGACCACAGGCTGAGAATCCCGCACTCCTCCTGGACAGACTGGGTCTCCTGGAGTGACACAGCTGGGGTTGAGCTCAATCACCTCCCAGACATGCCTAGGTGGTGCAGTAAGGGAGGAGGTGAAGGATTTCAGCGGTGCAGCTGACACTGATTGCTGGCTGCAGATGTGCCCTGTGCAGTTCTGTATGCTTGCTGCATGCCTGGAAATTCCCAGAATCTGGGTTCAGTGGACAAGTCTGTAGGACGTGACCCGGGGATGCTTCTCAGCCCACCACTGGCTGCCTCAGTGTCCGCAATCAGGAATATGTACGAACCCATGA